TTATGCTTACACTTAGAAAAAACATGCACATATTTTTATCCTGTTTCCCACATTTTACTTGTCATTATGGCATATCGTTTACATTGAGACATTTCTGGCCTCAGACCTTATGCTTACACATAGAAAAAACATGCAAATCAGAATTTCTAATGCAAACCAAGTGTGATGGTATGAGATGCATGACATTTTTAGATGTTTTCACTGATGAGGTGGTTGGGCTACACATTACATTTACATTTACATTTACGTCATTTAGCAGACGCTCTTATCCAGAGCGACTTACAAATTGGTGCATTCACCTTATGATAGCCAGTGGGACAACTACTTTACAATTTATTTAAAAATATTTTTCTAAAATTTTTAATTCATACATTTTCGAGTATATTTATAATTTTCATTTGTTTTTTATATATATTTTTTGTATTTTTGTAAAATCTGGTACCTGGATGACTTTTATACTATCCCAGGTATTCCTTAAAGAGGTAGGGTTTCAAGTGTCTCCGGAAGGTGGTCAGTTACTCCGCTGTCCTGGCGTTGTGAGGGAGCTTGTTCCACCATTGGTGTGCCAGAGCAGCGAACAGTTTTGACTGGGCTGAGCGGGAACTGTGCTTCCGCAGAGGTAGGGGGACCAGCAGGCCAGAGGTGGAAGGACGCAATGCCCTCGTTTGGGTGTAGGGACTGATCATAGCCTGATGTTAAGGAGGTGCCATTCCCCTCACAGCTCCGTAGGCAAGCACCATGGTCTTGTAGCAGATTCAAGCTTCAACTGGAAGCCAGTGGAGTGTGCGGAGGAGCGGGGTGACGTGAGAGAACATGGGAAGGTTGAACACCAGACGGGCTGAAGTGTTCTGGATGAGTTGTAGGGGTTTAATGGCACAGGCAGGGAGCCCAGCCAACAGCGAGTTGCAGTAATCCAGACGGGAGATGACAAGTGCCTGGATTAGGACCTGTGCCGCTTCCTGTGTAAGGTAGGATCGTACTCTGCGAATGCTGTAGAGCATGAACCTACAGGATCGGGTCACCGCTTTGATGTTAGCGGAGAACGACAGGGTGTTGTCCAGGGTCACACCAAGGTTCTTTGCACTCTGGGAGGAGGACACAACGGAGTTGTCAACCGTGATGGCGAGATCATGGAGCGGGCAGTCCTTTCCCGGGAGGAAGAGCAGCTCTGTCTTGCCGAGGTTCAGCTTGAGGTGGTGATCCGACATCCACACTGATATGTCTGCCAGACATGCATAGATGCGATTCGCTACCTGGTTATCAGAAGGGGGAAAGGAGAAGATTAATTGTGTGTCGTCTGCGTAGCAATGATAGGAGAGACCATGTGAGGATATGACAGAGCCAAGTGACTTGGTGTATAGAGAGAATAGGAGATGGCCTAGAACTGAGCCCTGGGGGACACCAGTGGTGAGAGCATGTGGTGCGGAGACAGATTCTCGCCACGCCACCTGGTAGGTGCGACCTGTCAGGTAGGACGCAATCCAAGAGTGAGCCACGCTGGAGATGCCCAACTCGGAGAGGGTGGAGAGGAGGATCTGATGGTTCACAGTATCAAAGGCAGCAGATAGGTCTAGAAGGATGAGAGCAGAGGAGAGAGAGTTAGCTTTAGCAGTGCGGAGAGCCTCCGTGACACAGAGAAGAGCAGTCTCAGTTGAATGACCAGTCTTGAAACCTGACTGGTTTGGATCAAGAAGGTCATTCTGAGAGAGATAGCAGGAGAGTTGGCTATAGACGGCACGCTCAAGAGTTTTGGAGAGAAAAGAAAGAAGGGATACTGGTCTGTAGTTGTTGACATCGGAGGGATCGAGTGTAAGTTTTTTGAGGAGGGGTGCAACTCACGCTTTCTTGAAGATGGAAGGGACATAGCCAGCGGACAAGGATGAGTTGATGAGCGAGGTGAGGTAAGGGAGAAGGTCTCTGGAAATGGTCTGGAGAAGAGAGGAGGAGATAGGGTCAAGCGGGCAGGTTGTTGGCCGCCGGCCGTCACAAGTCGCAAGATTTCATCTGGAGAGAGAGGGGAGAAAGAAGTCAAAGCATAGGGTAGGGCAGTGTGAGCAGGACCAGCGGTGTCATTTGACTTAATAAATGAGGATTGGATGTCGTCAACATTCTTTTCAAAATGGTTGACGAAGACATCCACAGAGAGGGAGGAGGGAGGGGGAGGAGGAGGAGGATTCAGCAGGGAGCAGAAGGTGGAAAAGATCTTCCTAGGGTTAGAGGCAGAGGCTTGAAATTTAGAGTGGTAGAAAGTGGCTTTAGCAGCAGAAACAGAAGAAGAGAATGTAGAGAGGAGGGAGTGGAAAGATGACAGGTCCGCAGGGAGTCTAGTTTTCCTCCATTTCCGCTCGGCTGCCCGGAGCCCAGTTCTCTGAGCTCAGAATGAATCGTCAAGCCACGGAGCAGGAGGGGAGGACCGAGCCGGCCGGGAGGATAGGGGACATAGAGAGTCAAAAGATTCAGAGAGGGAGGAGAGGAGGGTTGAGGAGGCAGAATCAGGAGATTGGCGGGAGAAGGATTTAGCAGAGGGAAGAGATGATAGGATGGAAGAGGAGAGAGTAGCGGGAGAGAGAGAGCGAAGGTTGCAACGGCACATTACCATCTGAGTAGGGACAGAGTGAGTAGTGTTGGAGGAGAGCGAGAGAGAGAGAGAAAAGGATACAAAGTAGTGGTCGGAGACTTGGAGGGGAGTTGCAGTGAGATTAGTAGAAGAACAGCATCTAGTAAAGATGAGGTCAAGCGTATTGCCTGCCTTGTGAGTAGGGGGCGACGGTGTGAGGGTGAGGTCAAAAGAGGAAAGGAGTGGAAAGAAGGAGGCAGAGAGAAATGAGTCAAAGGCAGACGTAGGGAGGTTAAAGTCACCCTGAACTGTGAGGGGTGAGCCATCCTCAGGAAAGGAACTTATCAAGGCGTCAAGCTCATTGATGAACTCTCCAAGGGAACCTGGAGGGCGATAAATGACAAGGATGTTAAGCTTGAATGGGCTAGTGACCGTGACAGCATGGAATTCAAATGAGGAGATAGACAGATGGGTCAGGGGGAAAAGAGAGAATGTCCACTTGGGAGAGATGAGGATTCCTGTGCCACCGCCGCGCTGACCAGATGCTCTCGGGGTATGCGAGAACACATGATCAGACGAGGAAAGAGCAGTAGGAGTAGCAGTGTTTTCTGTGGTAATCCATGTTTCCGTCAGCGCCAAGAAGTCGAGGGACTGGAGGGTGGCATAGGCTGAGATTAACTCTGCCTTGTTGGCCGCAGAACGGCAGTTCCAGAGGCTACCGGAGACCTGGAACTCCACATGAGTCGTGCGCGCAGGGACCACCAGATTAGAGTGGCAGCAGCCACGCCGTGTGAAGCGTTTGTATGGCCTGTGCGGAGAGGAGAGAACAGGGATAGATAGACACATAGTTGACAGGCTACAGAAAAGGCTACAATAATGCAAAGGAGATCGGAATGAAATTAACTAAGCATCTGGGAAAGCGAGAGAGCGGGGCCTCCCTCACGTTTCACTGAAACACTCAAATATAACTCTCCCAACTTCCACTTTAGATTAATAGACTTTAGTTAGTGTCTGGTCTGTTAGCGATGTTACCAAACAGACTAGTTCTGTCTCTTACCTACCTCTAGTTAGCGTCTGGTCTATTAGCGATGTTACCAAACAGACTAGTTCTGTCTCTTAACTCTAGTTAGTGTCTGGTCTGTTAGCGATGTTACCAAACAGACTAGTTCTGTCTAATGCCTCTAGTTAGTGTCTGGTCTATTAGCGATGTTACCAAACAGACTAGTTCTGTCTCTTACGTCTAGTTAGTGTCTGGTCTATTAGCGATGTTACCAAACAGACTAGTTCTGTCTCTTACCTCTAGTTAGTGTCTGGTCTATTAGCAATGTTACCAAACAGACTAGTTCTGTCTCTTACCTCTAGTTAGTGTCTGGTCTATTAGCGATGTTACCAAACAGACTAGTTCTGTCTCTTACCTCTAGTTAGTGTCTGGTCTGTTAGCGATGTTACCAAACAGACTAGTTCTGTCTCTTACATCTAGTTAGTGTGTGGTCTGTTAGCGATGTTACCAAACAGACTAGTTCTGTCTCTTGCCTCTAGTTAGTGTCTGGTCTATTAGCGATGTTACCAAACAGACTAGTTCTGTCTCTTACCTCTAGTTAGTGTCTGGTCTGTTAGCGATGTTACCAAACAGACTAGTTCTGTCTCTTACATCTAGTTAGTGTCTGGTCTATTAGCGATGTTACACATGACTGGCACCATAGCTTGAAAGCTCTTCATTGAGAGTCACTGGAGGGTAAAGCATGGTTGCCATTTTGTTCAAGCATGCCTCAACTTTAGGTTCTGGTTCTAGCTACCCACACACATTATGCATGTCTTGGAATACAACTCCATGTTTTCAATTCTAGTCTCACAATCTTTTTTTAGTCCAAAAAGCCATATTAAACAAGTCACCAGAATCATATGGGGTAGAAAGGTGTGAAGCCTAGAGAGGTTTACTACATGTTGGAAGTTTGAACTATAGTTTCAAACGGATGTTTTTCTGAAGACATATCAAACCTGAAAGTTTCATGCAAGTCAAATCCATTTAAGAGACCATGACCATAAGCACTGTGAAGCAGGGGTGTCTGTCAATGCATTCATTCAATACAAATAAGTTGTCAGATAGAGTCTACACAGATGGCACCAATTAATGAAATGAAAAAATGAACAATTTAAAGCATTACAAGAATAATATCTTAAACACATGAATTATTAGCCTTTTTCGTATAATGGGATTTTTGGCACATTAGTCAGATGTCTACTTTTGAAACACAATACACATTCTGACAAAAAAACATATATAAACCGCATAATTCACTAAACAATATAGAGATATTATAATTTGATGATGACTGAATCAATCAATGAACCATAATAAAATACTTTGAACTACACATATTTGACACTGAAAACTACAGTACCCAGACCGCATTGCCTTTGGACGTAATAAAAACAGGAAGAATGGGACTTCACACAAGAAATGTTGCTGAATGAATCAGAGGGTAGAGAGTGAAAAAGGGGCAGCCTAATGTAAATGTTGAACCACTTCATTTCTCGGCGGCTCGATGGATGACATCGAAGCCAGAAGCACCCTTTTAGTGGAAAAATAATCGTGCTCGAGGCTTTGTATCCTCGGTTTTGTCCCTGGTTGTTGGTACACCTATGATGGAACGGGCGATGGAGCAATTAAACGTACAGCTGAACAGGCTGACCCGCTCCCTGCGTCGCGCCAGGACCGTCGAGCTACCGGAAGGTATAGCCTATCGACCAAAGGACACAAATAATCGACAGGGCATAGTATGAGGCTTTAGCTATATCTATAGCATACTGTATATTCATGCTAATAAATATAGTCATTAAATGTTTGAATTACAGTATCATCTGACAGTTTGTCAATAACAAGGCGGAAGCCAGCAACCCTTGAGGGCATTAGACATTTCCCTGTCTACAGACTGGATGCTGGATAGGCTATTATTCTAACCATATAATAGTAATAAAATGATACGAATCTAGTGAGACCAACTGATACATACATTGTTTCATGATACAAAAACGAAGGAGTGACTGAAAGATGTCATGGTCATATAAGTCTAGTGGTGACATAAAGGAATGGGTTGCATAGGCTGCAGATACATACAGACCTGTTAGTAAATAGACTATTCAGACTGTCTGAGTTCAGTAGGAAGCATAGCTGTTATGGGAGATGATCCCCTTCTCCTTCGTTGATTACTGTATTCTGTTACCTTTCTTCTATTGATCCAGAAGTGCATGTTAGGGCATGTCTGTTGTGTAACTAACAACACCATTATATTACCACTGTACTCGTGTCCATGTCTGACAACAGCAACAACATTACCTTTGAGTTGAACTCAAGATCTAATGGAGTAGGAAACAGAAATGTGTTTTGTCTTGTACGGGAAGTGCATTCTTGAGTGTGAGGCGCTACATTGTACAATCCTTTTTGATATCCTGATAGTGTCTGGTTTGAATGAAGTACAGTCACTGATAGTGGATGTAGTTATGACGGTCCTAAGTATACACAGAGAGCTCTGTCTTAGGAGGTTAGAACTAAGAATACTGGACTCACTGTTTGATTACACAAAAATGTAATTGTTCAGTGACTAAATGACATGATTTTAGCAGAGGAAGATCTTTGTTCTTTAATTTCACAATTATCAATGACACTATTATGACACAATTATTGCTCCCCTCACAGACAATGAAACCGCAGTCTACACACTCATGCCAATGGTTATGGCTGACCAGCACAGGTATGACCATGTGTGTGTGTGTGTGTGTGTGTGTGTGTGTGTGTGTGTGTGTGTGTGTGTGTGTGTGAGATAGAGAGACAGAGAGACAGTCGAAGTTGTCAACATTGGTTCCCTGTATATTAATTATCTCACATGTCTGTATTGTCCCTGAAGGTCAGTTTCTGAATTACTCCTCAACTCCAAGTTTGATGTGAACTACGCTTTCGGACGAGTCAAGAGAAGTCTACTTCACATTGCTGCCAAGTAAGGAATGTTTACATTGTATCACTGATTGTTCTAATTGTTCCATTGTTTTGTTGGAAACCAACCTCTCCAGCGTCTATTTTTATCACAGTGGTGTGTCTGATGAAACTCTGTATCTGCTGTGATGTGTGTGTCTGTGTGGGTGAGTACTCTACATCTATTTGTGTATTGTGGTGCTTGTTAACGTGTTGGTTATTGTGTTGTAGCTGTGGATCAGTGGAGTGCCTGGTCCTACTGCTAAAGAGAGGAGCGAACCCTAACTACCAGGACATCTCAGGGTGCACTCCTCTGCATCTGGCTGCCAGAAACGGGTACCATACTGTACATAGATATTACTGCACACTCACTATATACTCTGCTGCCCCCTTTGGTAGGGAGGCAGAATACACCTTTACTTGGAGATCACAGATCCCTGCCAGCCCAGTGAACATGGTTTGGTGATGTTGATGATAGTGATGATGATGTTTAGAGTTGTATATATGATACCCCTCATCTTTCCTCTCTATAGGCAGAAAAAGTGTATGGGCAGACTACTAGAATACAATGCAGACGTGAACATCTGCAACAATGAGGGACTGACAGCTGTGAGTATCGCTATGAAGTCATGTGTATAGACAGACCAGTACTGCTGTTAAATTCTTGTCATAACTCAGGGATGTAGTGCTAATAAAAATGGTGAACGCAGGTCAAGACTGCGTACAGTAAATGCCATTCACACAATAAAAAGTTGTGTATACAGGGTGTACTTGTGTTTATGCTTTATTACATTCCTCCTCTTCCTCATCCTCTTCCTCCCCTCCTCCTTATTTTCCTTCCTTCCTTCCCTCCCCTCCTCTTCCTCTCCTCCTCCTCCTCCTTTAGATCCACTGGTTGGCTGTGAACGGGAGGACTGAGCTGCTTCATGACCTGGTGCAGCATGTGACTAATGTGGATGTAGAGGATGCCATGGGACAGACCGCCCTCCATGTAGCCTGCCAGAACGGACACAAGACTGTGAGTAGATAACACCCATATATCAACCAAGACCTGTATGGAAATACCAACATTTCCATAAAATGTCCAATATTCAGTATACAGTGTTCATCATAGACACAAGACGGTGAGTGTACAGAACAGGTGTCATTTTTGATATCTCAGTGGTTGTAAATGGATTGTGTTGATATGGAACCTTTACCAGTGTTGTTATATATTCAAGTTTCAAAGTGTATTAATGATAACTTCATGATAAGTTCCATCATGAATAACATGATGAATACCAGACAGTAGTGTGGATGATGAGTGTGTCTCCTCTCTTTCCTCTTCCTCATTGGCCTGTGTGTGGTCGATGACGTCATCAGACGGTGCAGTGCCTGCTGGACAGTGGAGCGGACATCAACAGACCTAACTGCTCTGGGGCCACACCACTCTACTTCGCCTGCAGGTCACTACATACACTAGTACAATAACGATGATGCAATACTTCCTCTCATCCTTCTTCCTATTGTCCACTTAGAATTGTAGATGGAATATAAACTATTCTTTGTAATACATTGGCTCGGCAACTGAAATGCAAACGTGTTGTTTTGATTCAGTGCGGCTGTAAATATATATTCTACGGCATTGTACAAGGCTATTAGTTGGAGGAGGAGGAAGCTGGGGGGTGGAATATGAAGAGACCAAAGAACAGTGATCACAGCCAGACAGCTGTTCAGAGATATGTCCCAAACTTCAGTAGCACACTCCTATCCCTGTCAGTCCTCTGATGGTCTCTATGCAGCCTGTCTCATTCAGATGATAAGAATAGCACGAGAAAACTCATCCCTCAACTTCAGAGGGAGAATAATGAGGTTCCTATTAATTCAGAACATGACAGTGACACCCCAGCCTTCCTTTGAGTGTATTAAGCTCTGCACGCGCTCACACACACAGACACACACACAGACACACACACAGACACACACAGACACACACACAGAGGAGGAGCAGGGCTGGAGGCTGGAGTGACAGTATCCTTCTCTGATCTTTTGTTTTGATTATGTTTCACTTGTACATTAGTCAGGTACCATTAAGGAGGCTCTATTTGAAAAGCACTGTGACTAGAACAATTAGTCTGTAATGAACTGTGGATAAATGAAGTGTTGTTTTACTGTCAACTGACTGCATCACAGAGTATATCAGTCTGAATGAAGTGGCTGGTCCACCAGCCAATGTGCCTGTCTGGTGAATGAAATAATACACTGGACATCTTGATTTTGTACAAGCCCTTCTCAGATCTCCAACCCTGACTCCAGCCTTCTATTGACCACCTTCTCTTAACGTTAACCCTTATCTTCTGAATTGTCATTATATATTGTTATATAGAGTTTAAACCTTAACCAACACTAACTTTATATTTTGTTAGAAATCTGTGTGTGTGAGCCTTAGTCATAGTGGATAGAGTGTTAAAGTTAAGTCTATTACCATTTGTAGGTACGATGATATACATTGACATTTCTTTACGACAAGACACAATCTCAGAAGTAAAAAGGAGTAGAGAGCAATGTTAAAAACATACAAGAATACATTCAATACATTAAAGCCCTACTTATGTCCCACAGCCACGGTCAAAGGGACACGGCACAGATCCTTCTCTCTCGAGGGGCTAAGTACCTACCTGACAAGAATGGAGTCACCCCTCTGGATCTGTGTGTACAGGTGAGCATTACCATGACAACAAATGGCTAATATAACAAACAAGCACCCAGAAAACAGCATTTGTCTGTCTCTTCCCCCTTTCTGATCCCACTGTGTTGGTGTGTGTGTGTGTGTGTGTGTGTGTGTGTGTGTGTGTGTGTGTGTGTTGTTCAGGGTGGTTATGGGGAGACGTGTGAGATCCTCATCCAGCACCACGGCAGACTGTTCCAGACACTCATCCAGATGACGCAGAATGATGACATCAAAGAGAATATGGTACATATTCTACTGTCTATCTGTCTCACTCTGTTATTAGAGCAATGACTAGGTTCATGTCCACACACCTCTTTTTCTTTTAGAAAGTGCTTGTAGGCATATTTTAACTGTGTCTGTGTCTGTGTGTAGCTCAGGCAGGTTCTAGAGCATGTTTCCCAGCAGAGTGACAGTCACTACCAGAGGATCCTGACCAGTCTAGCAGAGGTAGCCACTACTAATGGACACAAACTCCTCAGGTAAACCCTCTGCTAGACTCCCAGCCAGACCTGAGGCAAATGCATATGGAAGTGCACTTTATTTAGTTTCTTACTAATTTCTCTGGAAAGAAGGATGTTTATTCAGTCATTACAATGCAATAAGCATGTAACAGCAACTCCACTACCTAAACGCTAGTCATTTAGGTCGAGGTTAATTCTATTCCTTACTCACTGTCAGTCTCCTCTCCAGTCTGTCCAGTAGCTACGAGGCTCAGATGAAGAGTCTGCTGAGAATCATCCGGATCTTCTGCCATGTCTTCCGCCTGGGCCCTTCCTCTCCCAACAACGGGAATGACATGGGATACAACGGGAACAAGACGCAGCGCAGCCAGGTCTTTAAGGTCAGTATGGGGTTAGTACTGAACCTGACTTCAGATACACACAGAGATGTAGTACATTGTGTGAATCAGAAGAGGGCGTTGAGAGATTGTTCACCATCTCCTGATCACCTGATCCATGACTTGTCCTGGTGCATGACTTTGAGTGTGTTTGTGTGTGTTTTTGTGTGTCAGCATCTACCCCTCTCTTTCTTTCTCTTCCTCGCTCTCTTTCTCTTTCTCTCCCTATTTCCCTCTCTCTCTCTTTCTACGTCTGTCTGTCTGTCTCTCTCTCTCGCTCTCTCCATCCCTCTTTCTCTCCCCTCTCTCTCTCCTCTCTCTCCTTCACTCACTCAGTCTCTTTCCTTGCATCCCCGTTTCCTCTCTCTCTCTTATTTCCTTCAGCCGTTGGAGTTGCTCTGGCACTCTCTAGATGAGTGGTTGGTGTTGATCTCTACAGAGCTGGAGAAGAGCCACCAGGACCCCTCCAACTCTTCCTCCTCAGGGAGCGAGATCGCCTCCCTCCTCCTCAAACAACGCGGCGAGGTTGACTCCGCTTCCACCTCCACCCCCGCCGTCTTCACGGTGGCACCCTCGCTGCCCCCCTCCATGCCCCTACCCCCTTTGCTGGACCCAGAGGTTGACAAGAGGACCCCGGAGGTTGTTATGGAAACGCCGGAGGTATACGCAGACGGAGAGGATGTCATCTCTATGACGGCCAATCGGCTCAGCGCGGTGATCCAGGCCTTCTACATGTGCTGTTCCTGTCAGATGCCACAGGGGTGAGAATGACTTCTGACCTCTGACCTCTAACCCAGGGATGGGCAACTCAGGTTCTTGGGAGGCCTGAGTGTCTGCTGGTTTTCCTTTTGGCCCGGCTCTTGATTGCACTCAAGTGCACACACCTGATTTTAAAGATCTATATCGGCCACTAAACGACAGAGTCAGTGTTCCTCTCATAATGTCCTAGTTTCACAGAGATACTTTACGTAACTCTTCCTCCTTCAGATCCCCTCTGTGTGAGTAGGCCTGGGAAATAATGGATCTTTAATATCTCTCTCCATACACACACACACACACACACACACACACACACACACACACACCCTTTCCTCGCCCCTGGCTAGATAATTACATTTTAATTAGATCATTAAACTCATCCTAATTGAACGCTGAATAGGAGCCACTGTTATTGGCCCTATGCTGCTGTAGGAGAAGAAGATGGCTGTGTTTGTCTTTGTGTTTCTCCTTCCCAGGCCTGCTCTTCATTAGCTGATAGCCTGGCTGTTCCCCTGTCAGGGAAACACTGTTTCAATAATGCAGGTTATTGTTTTTTGGAGAGGGATCAGATCCACTCATTATAATAGACAGATACTGCACCACTTATCTCTGTGTTGTGGTCTTCTGAAACACAGCTCCTGGTTATGTAGTGAGTGTGTTCATTATTTTATTATCTTGCTCCCACTGTGTTTCCTTGTCTTTCCTCATCCAGAATGACGTCCCCTCGCTTCATAGAGTTTGTCTGCAAGCATGACGAGGTGCTCAAATGTTTCGTAACCAGGTGAATCCTTTGACAGGATCTTAAACTTATGTTTCTTACCAGACACTTCTTATCAATCTCTCTAACTTAACCTGTCATTTTTTTCTCTCTCTCTCTCTCTCTCTCTCTCTCTCTCTCTCTCTCTCTCTCTCTCTCTCTCTCTCTCTCTCTCTCTCCATTTCTCTTTTTCCTTCCTTCCCTCTATCTCTCTCTCGCTCTCAGGAATCCAAAGATCATCTTTAACCATTTCCACTTCCTGTTGGAATGTCCGGAGCTCATGTCCCGCTTCATGCACATAATCAAAGGCCAGGTGAGACCTGTGATTGGCTGGTCTATCAGTCAACTTCCTGGTTGTGTATCTGCTGTAGGCAGGACATACAAGGGCCAAGACAACGATCCCATGGCCTCATATTTGCAAGCTATGACAGCAGCTTTCTCTCCCCCGCCCTTTCTCTATGTCCCTCTCTCTCTCTGCCCCTCTCTCTCTCTGCCCCTCTCTCTCTCTGCCCTCTCTCTCTGCCCCTCTCTCTCTCCCTCTCTCTTTATGTCCCTCTGTAGTTCTCCCTCTGGGGACTCTGTGGCGAGTGACTTTGAAACGCCTGTGTCTCCCAGGCAGGATCATTTAACAACATTATTGCCATGGCGATAACACTTGTCTTAAGTTCCTTTATATAGCTTCATAAATTTTAAGTGCCTCCTCGAAGTTGTGTTTAGTGTTCCACTCTCACTCATATTTGAGCCGAGGACGGCGTGGCAAGCCTCGTTACCTCTATAGATTATATCCCACCTGGGAATAAGAGTCCCTCGTTTTAATTACAGATTTTAACCTGTAGAAGACTATTTCATCTCCACATCTCCCTCTCAGTACGCACAGGAGCCCCAGGGGAAAATCTCTCTCTGTCTCTCTTTTCTATCTCTCTCTCGCACTCTCTCTTGCTCTGTCTCTGTCTCTGTCACTTTCTCTCTCCCCAGCTCATCTCTCATCGCTTAGAGAGAACAAAGACATTCAAATATTATACAAATATAAACGCCACTCTTCCCTCTCTGCGTTTTTCAGACACTGTATTTCAACACTTGAGGCTTTGGAGCCATATGTTTAGACACCGTCTCAGAGTTGAAAGTGTAGAGAGAGATAATGCATTTTTGGGAAGTCCTGTGGCTGGTATTTAGTTAGGATAATTGTAAGACATTATAAGGGGGTTATACATGCTTATGAAGTCTTGTAATACATTATAACTGCATCATAATGCACTATACCTGCAGGCTGTAAGTAAAGTGTTATTGTTTCTTCCCCTCGCAGCCCTTCAAGGAGCGGTGTGAGTGGTTCTATGAGCACCTATTGGCAGGACAGCCAGACTCAGACATGGTCCATCGACCTGTCAACGAGAACGACATCCTGCTAATCCACAGAGGTACCCAGCCCACACTGACCCATCCTTCATACAGTATAACCCATCGTTCCTGTATAGCTAACCCCACTGACCATCCTTCATCCCCAAATGTCTTACACTCCACCCAGTAATGTATCAGTGTATCTCTCTTTCTCAATATGTTTCTTTCTCTTTTCTCTCAGAGTCCATATTCAGCAGTAGCTGTGCGATGGTCTCCAAATCGACCAATGAGAAGCTCAAACAGGGCATCGCCGTACGATTCCATGGAGAGGAAGGAATGGTGGGTATTATCAATGTCTGTCTGACCTGGGTTTAAATAGTATTGATTTTCTTTCAAATACTTTAGTTTAGCAACTCTTGATTGAACTTGCCTAGCGCAATGGAAACAATGGAATAGTTCCCAAAATGCAAAGGGAATAGGGCACCATCTCAAATTGACCCATGCTTAGTCCTAGCAACACTGCATTATTTGTGCAGTATACAGGAAACCGGGTCCCATTTCAGCCCGTGCTCAGTGTTAGCAGTGGACCTTTAGTTGACCTGTGACCTTTGTGTTCCAGGGCCAGGGCGTGGTGAGGGAGTGGTTTGACGTCCTGTCCAATGAGATCATCAATGCAGACTACGGCCTCTTCACCCAGTCAGCGGACGGTGAGACACCTTGCGATTGGCTGATGTTTGTTTGATGTGTAAACAGTGTTTTTCTACTGTAATTGAGGGTGTATTTTCCTCCCTCACGGTTTAAAAAAAATGTTGTTACCTTGCATCATGATCCAAATACTTTGTTCGTTAATGATATTTTTGTATGCCTAGCCTAGCTGTATATTGTGACTGGGATGTTTGCCCCTCTCTTCCCCTCTCTTGCGTCAGAATCCAAATACTTATTCAGGATAGGTAGGTAAGAAGATTTATTATTATTATAAGATCAAAACTTGACTGGTATTTGTTTGTTTGTCACCGTGTGTGTGTCTGCCTGTGTGGCGTGTGTGTGCACATCGGTGTGTGTATCTGTGTGTGTGTGTGTGTGTATGTGTGTCTCACAGGCACCACTTTCCAGCCCAACAGTAACTCGTCAGTGAACCCTGATCATCTGAACTACTTCCGGTTTGCGGGTCAGATCCTGGGCTTGGCTCTTTACCACCGTCAGCTGGTCAACATCTACTTCACCCGCTCCTTTTACAAACACATACTGGGTAACACACACACACACACACACACACACATACACACACACACACACACATTCTATAGTGGGTTGTTAACATGATATAATGTGTGTCCAGGCATCCCAGTGAGCTACCAGGACGTGTCGTCCATCGATCCAGAGTATGCCAAGAATCTGCAGTGGATCCTGGACAACGACATCAGTGACCTGGGACTGGAGCTCACCTTCTCCGTGGAAACAGATGTGTTCGGCGCCATGGAGGAGGTGCCACTCAAACCTGGAGGGACTAGCATCATCGTCACCCAGGACAACAAGGTGAGCCAGCCTATCACAGAAGGAGGATCTGAAATGTTTTTTGTTGTTGCTCTCAACATCAACTAGGTGAGAATAGCAGATGATTGACAGGTCAAGCAGAAGGAAGTTGCGATATGATTTAGACTGCTCCCCCTGTATTCTCTAACACTTATGACCTTATATGATTCATGTGTATATGATGTGCGTGCTTGCGCGCGTGCTTGCCTATGTTTGACAAAGTTATTTTGGAATTTGAGAGTGTAGTACCACAGCTGGCCTGCAGGTGGTAATGTTCTGTAAGGAAGACGCCTGTGAAACGAGATGGTGTTAGAGGGCTGCCCAAAGATCAACCATACTCTACGTAGTGAATGTTCCCTATATAAACCTCTCTCTCTCTTTCTCAGGCGGAGTATGTCCAGTTGGTAACAGAGTTGAGGATGACTCGAGCCATCCAACCCCAAATAAATGCCTTCCTGCACGGGTTCCACACCTTCATTCCCCCCTCCCTCATCCAGCTCTTTGACGAATATGAATTGGTTAGTGTCCTCGCTTTTCCTCTCTTCTCCTTTTGCCTGTGTTCAACTCCCTTCTCCTCACCTCTCCGTACCTCTTTCTCTGCTCTCACCTCCTCTTGCCCATTCTCTTTTATTCTCCTCCTTTGCTCTCTGCTCTCGCCTGCTCGCCTAGTGGGGTCTGATGTCTGATGCAGGGATTGATTGGCCTTGTCTGGCTCAGGGGTGTCAACATGTTGGGGTCACCTTGAGGCCCCTCGCCCGGCTCAGATCAGATTTGTTTCTGTGTGTGTCGGCAAAATCCATGTCCTCACTAGTCCCGATAGGGTGCCATGGCGATTATCTGGCCCGCCGTGTGTTATTGGACATGTGTGTGCAGGTACAAGCCTCAGTCACACGGTCACATCAACGCCTGCTGACAACACTCAGACTCAGTGGGGAGGAGAGTTTAGCTCTGAACCACCCGTGTTCAGTTGCGTTAGAAAAACACCCTTGTGTCTTTGTCAACATGATTTTGAACAGAAGAAGCACTAAGTTATGTTTTATAAGTCTGTTGTATATGATACATGTGTCCTGACTGCTACTCCATTTATCTCCCTCTCTGTTTCTGTGTGGGTGTCTGTGTGGGTATAGGAGCTGTTGCTGTCTGGGATGCCAGAGATCGATGTGCAGGACTGGCACAGGAACACAGAATACACCAGTGGCTATGACCTGGAGGAACCTGTCATCCAGGTGAGTTAGCGCTGACCGGGGAGGACTCTTTTTAATGTAACACCACCTCATCAGAGAGGAGGACCCTTTTTACTGGAGCACCTCCAAATTAGAGAGATATACCACAGGCTTGGCTGATCCTACAGAGATCTTAACCCCTCCTCCCAGGCTGGCTTAGTGGTTTAAAGTTGATTCTCTTGTCAGATTCTCTTATCTCACAGTGGTTTTCATTTGGTTTAATGTGGATTCTCTTGTCTTGTAGTGGTTCTGGAAGGTGGTAGAAAGCCTTACCCAAGAGGAGAGGGTCCTACTGTTGCAGTTTGTCACTGGCAGGTGAATTTCTAATAGTCAGTGTGCGTGTGTGTGGCATGTGAGTTTCTTCCAGTCATTCCCTCAAGGCCATTGTAAGATCTGATCAGTGATCAGTCACTTACTCTCACTCCTGACCTGTCTAATTCCTCTCTCATGTCCCTGTCAGCTCTAGGGTACCTCATGGTGGCTTTGCCTTTCTGATTGGAGGTAGTGGCTTACAGAAGTTCACTATTGCCTCTGTACCATACACATCAAACCTACTGCCTACCTCCAGCACCTGGTAAGGACCGCACACACACACACACACACACATACGCACGCACGCACGCGTTGTCACTCACGCATGAGAGAGAGATGCATGCTGACAGAAAAAGCACTAGAGGGCAGTATGGTGCCTCTGTCTCCTCTGCCTCTGGAGTCGTGTGTGTGTGTGTGTGTGTGTGTGTTGCTTTAGTCCACTGGTATAGAAGAGAGGGAAAAACAGGGAGGGGTTTCTGCATGTTGGATAGAAAGGACAGGTACTGCAGTTCTCATCGCTGTAGGTCTTTGCTTTGGGAGGTAGAAATCACCACTGTAGTGTATACAGCAGCTGGATATGAAATGAGACATAATGACATGCCATCAATCTGCAGTGAACTACAGGAAACTACATTGACCATGATCCTCCTCACCTGCTCCTCCCACAGCATCAACATGATGAAACTCCCAGAATACCCCAGCCAGGAGGTCCTGCGGGACAGGCTGCTGGTCGCACTGCATTGTGGGAGCTATGGGTACACCATGGCATGACGCTGGCGGCAGCTGCATCTCAGCGGGACTCCTCTGGCCCATGCCCATGAGAGTGTGTGTGCGTGTGTGTGTGTGTACGCATGGACATGGACACATCAGTGCAGGGAATCCATCCAACACTTCCTAATCCAAACATCTTTCACCTATCTGTGGCAGTTTGTTTTAGCTTGGTAGATTCTATTCTACGGACAGAGCTAGGTATGATTTTCATAAGATAAGATAACAAGCTTACAGTCATTTCAACCCAATTGAAGGCAAAGGAAATGTGATACCCCTGATTTCACTCTGAACTGCCAAAAACATGTTACCATGGTCACAACAACAACTCTACCCAGACCTCTTATCCACTACAGACTGGCTGCACAGCATCACTCTCACAACGTGAAGCCAGTCAGCTGGGCTCAGGTGTGTCTGTCTTCCTTTTAGTCTCCTTTGACATTCTTCTCCTGTAACGTGGTAATATGGAATAATCTGGTTGGTGTGTATTTCAAAATGTCACAGTCTATAATTACCTTAAGTGGGTGTGGCCAGGTGGTTTTACATGTGTTTACCAGGGAGGTAGTTGTAAGAAGGTGGTAAAGATGCTGGAGTAACAAACACCAATGCAAAAAATGCTAATTTGGCCTAGGAATAGGTGCATAAACTCTAATTCCAAAATGAATAGAAGCGTTAACGGTGCTTACAAACGTTTACCCCCCCACTACAGTACATCCCTGACCTTCACAGCTGCCTAACCACAACTCCCTCACCCTATAAGGTGCATGTCTCATGTGGCTTTACTTTGTGAGATTCTTCAGTTTGGTGTCATTCTGTTGTATTGGAATGTGTTAGTCTGTCATCTGCAGATGTATCTCTGTGTCCTTGTAGTGATCATCAGGGCCCAGTTTTTCAAAAGTTATCTATCCTGATTTCGCCCATCAGATAGGATTAAATACATAGAAATAGGATGAATAGAACAGACAAATCATTGACTTCTACTCATTCTATTTCTATGTATTTAATCCTATCCGGATAAGAAAACTTTTGAAAAACTGGGCCCAGTAGTCAGTCATCCCTTTCTATGGTATCTGACTGTCAGGACTCTGGGTGCGTCTCAAATAGCTCCGTATTTCCTGTATAGTGCACTACTTTTGACCAGAGCCCTATGGGCCCTGATCAAAAGTAGTGCACTATAAAGGGAATAGGGTGCCATTTGGGACGCTGCCTCTGTTTACCATGTTGTATTTCTCCCAGCTCAGTCAACTTAAAGGTTAGAGGAGCACTACAGTATATAGAACTAAGTGAAAGGTTTGGTCAGCAGTGCCAAAAATAAGAGCCAGTTTTATTTTGATTGCTTTTTGTTTTTATCCTACCTGAACATTATGTTGAAACATGTTCTAAAAAGGGACAGAATCATATCATGACTTGACATATCATGAATGTAGCTAAGGAATGTTTTATTCTTGATCCTTGATTTAAATTACTCTACAATGATGTGGGAATGTAAATACTTATTTATATTTCATATTATTTATCAGTATTGTTTTAAATGTATGACTTGTTTTGCAATTGTAATCAGATAATGTTGATGTTTATTGTATACAGAGCCTTTATAGATATTTCTGCAAATTACTCAAAACATTAAAGTATGTATTTTACCATAAACATAATACATTGTTTAAACTTTGAGATTGTATGCATCAGCACCCCACCCCCACACACAAACTGTTAGTGAGTGATTGTGGGAGAGCATTGAGCAATGCACAAGCTTGTGTGAGTGAGGGCATGCTGGTAAAGTGCATAGTGGGTGGATTTGTGTGTGTGTGTGGCTGGACATATGTGCCCTCAGCATGTGCTGTGTTGGGTCACAGGCTAAGATCAGCAGGGCTACCTGTGCTAAACGGTTTCCTCAGCACTCTCCCTTAAACACAACCTCTGTTCCATCTCTCTCTCTCACACACACACACACACACACACACACACACACACACACACACACACACACACACACACACACACACACACTCACCGTGACCAAAGCCACATTCTAAACACACAACATGTTCTGTTCCCCATAGCAACGCTGCATCCTCCATATAACCTGCCCTTCCAAACTTAAACCATGGTTCACCATGGCAACGCCAACGTCTGGTTGAGTACACACACAGGCAACGCAGCACGGACAGGCCTGGGCTGGCTGAGACATGTGGACCTGGCATATGTCCCCCTGACAACCCAGAGAGAGAGAGCAGAGAGAAAGGAAAAGTGGTTGGATATGTCAGTAGAACAGAGAGGGAGAGAAAAGGTGTCCACCACATTTTACCACATACTTTCACCACACTAGCATGCGCTCTCATTATTCACTTAATGTAATTAGCTAACTATTCATCCTCACCATCCAGTCTCCTCCCTGGACCTGTGTGACACATTCAGGCGATAACACAGTACACACAGTGCTTTAGACACCGTCAGGCGATGCCACTGCACTGTAGAGTCAATTTTTACCTTTGATCTCCAGAGTTCTACATCTGGCTGGTTGAGGTTTTTCTGATTGCTCTGTGTCCTCAGACAGAGATAAATGCACTCCTCTGGCCGGCCTCTGTGGAGTTATTACCTCTGCATCTGCACATACTGATTACATCTGCTGTGTTCACCCTTTCTCTCTCTCTTATACACACACAACCACTGACTGCGTACATGTCCTCTACTACAGTACAAACTGCACAAAGCAATGAGGCTGAAAATGTGGTCATGTAGATTGTCACTCCCCTTCGACTTGTTCTAGTGCAGACACTGGGGCATATTTCACCAAGGCAATGACCTGCAGGCAGAGCACTATAGAGAACTACCTTCTCGTTGACAGATTTTGGGGTGGAATCAGCCCTCTCGCTTCTCCTGTTCCTCTCTGCTACAGTGTACAGTGCCTTCAGAAAGTATTCACACTCCTTGACTTTTTCCAAAAATTTTTGTTTTACAGCCTGAATTTAAAATGGATTAAATTGAGATTTATTTGTCACTGGTCTACACACAGTACTCCATAATGTCAAAGTAGAACTATGTTTTTAGAATTTTCTTAACATCATAAGTTACATGAACTCACTCTGTGCAATAATAGTGTTTAACATTTTTGAATGACTACCTTAGCTCTGTACCCCACACATACAATTATTTGTAAGGACCTTAAGTTGAGCAGTGAATTTCAAACACAGATTCAACCACAAAGACCAGGGGGGTTTTCCAATGCCTCGAAAAGAAGGACACCTACTGTATTGGTCGATATATATACAGTGGAGAGAACAAGTATTTGATACACTGCCGATTTTGCAGGTTTTCCTACTTACAAAGCATGTAGAGGTCTGTAATTTTTAAGAAAATCACATTGTATGATTTTTAAGTAATTAATTTGCATTTTATTGCATGACATAAGTATTTGATCACCTACCAACCAGTAAGTATTCCGGCTCTCACAGACCTGTTAGTTTTTCTTTAAGAAGCCCTCCTGTTCTCCACTCATTACCTGTATTAACTGCACCTGTTTGAACTCATTACCTGTATAAAAGACACCTGTCCACACACTCAATCAAACAGACTCCAACCTGTATGATTTTTAAGTAATTCATTAGCATTTTATTGCATGACACAAGTATTTGATACATCAGAAAAGCAGAACTTAATATTTGGTACAGAAACCTTTGTTTGCAATTACAGAGATCATACGTTTCCTGTAGGTCTTGACCAGGTTTGCACACACTGCAGCAGGGATTTTGGCCCACTCCTCCATACAGACCTTCTCCAGATCCATCAGGTTTCGGGGCTGTCGTTGGGCAATACGGACTTTCAGCTCCCTCCAAAGATTTTCTATTGGGTTCAGGTCTGGAGACTGGCTAGGCCACTCCAGGACCTTGAGATGCTTCTTACGGAGCCACTCCTTAGTTGCCCTGGCTGTGTGTTTCGGGTCGTTGTCATGCTGGAAGACCCAGCCACGACCCATCTTCAATGCTTTTACTGAGGGAAGGAGGTTGTTGGCCAAGATCTTGCGATACATGGCCCCATCCATCCTCCCCTCAATACGGTGCAGTCGTCCTGTCCCCTTTGCAGAAAAGCATTCCCAAAGAATGATGTTTCCACCTCCATGCTTCACGGTTGGGATGGTGTTCTTGGGGTTGTACTCATCCTTCTTCTTCCTCCAAACACGGCGAGTGGAGTTTAGACCAAAAAGCTCAATTTTTGTCTCATCAGACCACATGACCTTCTCCCATTCCTCTGGATCATCCAGATGGTCATTGGCAAACTTCAGACGGGCCTGGACATGCGCTGGCTTGAGCAGGGGGACCTTCCTCATGATCATTCATGCCCCACGAGGTGAGATCTTGCATGGAGCCCCAGACCGAGTATGATTGACCGTCATCTTGAACTTCTTCCATTTTCTAATAATTGCGCCAACAGTTGTTGCCTTCTCACCAAGCTGCTTGCCTATTGCCCTGTAGCCCATCCCAGCCTTGTGCAGGTCTACAATTTTATCCCTGATGTCCTTACACAGCTCTCTGGTCTTGGCCATTGTGGAGAGGTTGGAGTTTGTTTGATTGAGTGTGTGGACAGGTGTCTTTTATACAGGTAACGAGTTCAAACAGGTGCAGTTAATACAGGTAATGAGTGGAGAACAGGAGGGCTTCTTAAAGAAAAACGAACAGGTCTGTGAGAGCCGGAATTCTTACTGGTTGGTAGGTGATCAAATACTTATGTCATGCAATAAAATGCAAATTAATTACTTAAAAATCATACGATGTTATTTTCTGGATTTTTGTTTTACATTCCGTCTCTCACAGTTAAAAAGACATTTAATATCTCTTTGAGCATGGTGAAGTTATTAATTACACTTTGGATGGTGTATCACTACAAAGATACAGGCATCCTTCCTAACTCAGTTGCCGGAGAGGAAGGAAACCGCTCAGGGATTTCACCAAGAGGCCAATGTGACTGTTTCAGCAAGGCAGAGTAAAATTCAACTCATTACCTGTATTAACTGCACCTGTTTGAACTCGTTACCTGTATAAAAGACACCTGTCCACACACTCAATCAAACAAACTCCAACCTCT